GGATGTGGACGCGAGCGTTGCGAGTGCGTCGGCTGGCGCGTTGTTACTCCGGGGGATCTTGGTCAAGTCGAACTGCTCGAATAACTTTGAGAGATCTCGGACGACTTTGAGGTATGCATCCATACGATCGTTCTTAGCCTCGTAATCGCCGCTAAATTGGTTTGCAACGAGTTGGGAGTCGCAGTATGCCTGAATTCGTTTGACTCCGATGCCGTGTGCTAGTCGGAGCCCTGCAATCAATGCTTCGTACTCTGATTCGTTGTTCGAGGCGGTAAAGGCGAGGCGGAACGATTGTTCTAATATTTCACCCGTTGGCGACTGCAAGTGCACTCCAATCCCCGAACCGTGTTTAGAGGCTGCGCCATCTACGTACAATGTCCATTTCTCGTTTGGCGAGACTCCTTGATCGAGATCTGGCGAGAGCTCAACAAGGAAATCTGCGAGGACTTGTGACTTGGCACATGTTCGATACTTGTATTGGATATCGTACTCCCCGAGTTCGATGGCCCATTTTGTGAGTTTGCCGGACTGGCTTGGACTGTGGAGAATTATTCGGAGTGGTTGATTGGTGAGAACTTCGACAGAGTGGGACTGAAAATACGGCCTGAGCTTACGCGCTGAAATGACAACCGCATATGCAAGTTTCTCCAAAGTGGGATAGCGAAGCTCTGCGCCATCAAGAGTTTTACTGACATAGAAGATTGGGTGCTGCTCGTCGCGATCCTCTTTGACAAGGACACCGCTGACCGCCGAAGTTGATACGGCAATGTAGAGGTACAAAGTCTCTCCTTGGTCGAGTTTTGCGAGCACCGGAGGAGACGAAAATAGTCTTTGAGCTGTTTGAAAGCTTCCTCGCATTTGTCGTCCCACTCGAATCGTTTATTGCTGCGTAGCAGTTGGTAAAACGGGAGGCACTTGTCAGTCGAACGCGATATGAATCGATTTAATGCCGCAATGCGTCCAGTAAGGCGTTGCACTTCGGGAGTGTTTCTTGGGGAGGGGAGGCTGATGATCGCAGAAATCTGTTTGGGATTTGCTTCGATACCTCTTTGGGTGACGAGGTATCCCAGGAACTCTCCCGACTTCACTCCGAAAGTGCACTTAGCAGGATTCAGCTTCATGCTATACTTATTCAGGACTTCGAAACATTGCTGCAAATGCGATACGTGTTCGGATGACTTGGTGGATTTGACGAGCATGTCGTCGATATACACCTCCATCGTTTTGCCGAGTTGACTTGCAAACATTCGATTCACCAAGCGTTGATATGTGGCTCCGGCGTTCTTCAAACCAAATGGCATTACCTTATAACAATATGTTCCTTGTTCAGTGATAAATGTGGTCTTCTCGCGATCGTTCTTATGCATCAGAATTTGGTTATAACCAGAGAAAGCGTCCATAAACGAGAGGAGTTCGTTCCCGGCAGTTGCTTCGACGAGCTGGTCAATGCGCGGGAGAGGAAAGCTATCTTTCGGACAGGCTTTGTTGAGATCGGCGAAATCCACACAAACTCTCCACTTGCCGTTTTTCTTCTTAACAACCACGGGATTGCTTAACCACTCCGGATATCGTACTTCCATTATAGAATCGGCGTCGAGTAGTTTTCGGACTTCTTCGTTTACTGCGGCAGCGCGATCGCGACCTAACTTCCTTCGTTTTTGTTTGATAGGCTTGAAGGTTGGATCGACGTTCAGTTCGTGACACGTAACTTCGGGGTTGATGCCGGGCATGTCGGCGATCGTCCATGCGAAGGTGGCAGAGTTGTGTTGTAGGAACTTCACGAGTTCTTCTTTCAATGGGAGTGGAAGGTCAGCACCTACTCCTACACAATGTGCAGGATCAGTTGTGTCAATGTTGACTTGGTCGATTAGCTCCGTGTGTGGTGCTTGTCGTGTATCCACCTTCGGGGTTGATTCAGAGATGACAAACATTCTTTGGGCATTGGCGCGAGCGTTGCGCAGCTGTCTCTCGACGATAAAACATGTGCGCGCAACCAATGGATCGCCTCGCAACGTATAGATTCCTCGTTGAGTAGGGAACTTCACGCATTGATGATATGTCGAAGGGATAGCTTTCATTCTATGCAGCCATGGTGTGCCTAATATGACGTTGTACACGATTGGTTTGTCAACAATAGCAAAGTTAAAGCATTGCATCGTTCCCCCGACGTAGATAGGGAGCATGACTGTGTCGCCGTCAAAGCCAGTAAGAGGCTGCGTGTTATGCTCGGCAAGGCGCAGATCGACTCCCATCCGGATCAATACGTCTTTAAAGATTACGTTGACAGAGCTTCCCGTGTCGATTAGGATCTTTGTGACCACGCTTTCCCCGATTGCCAATTCGACGACCAGCGGGTCGTTGTTAGGTCCTGTTTGCAGGGCGTCCGCTTCAGTAAAGGTGATTGGTTCGTAGTTTTCGACGTCCGGGCTACTCCTCGTGAGCCAGCTGCGGCTATTTTCACCTTGTCGGTGGTATGCCCGTATCGAGCGAACCGAATCGTTGCATGTCGTTAGACCACCCATTATCATATCTACGCGCTGTCGGCCTGCGTACGCGTCGTCGATTGGGGGAAGATCTTGCTTTCGCTTAGGGGGAGGCGACGGTCGGGCTTCTTCTCGGAGAGCGCGGGGCTCCTCCTCAATCTGTTTGCCGTCGCGCTGGTGCTGTTGTGAATCGTATCCAACATAAGAGTTGTCCCTGTGCGAGAGTGCTTGTCGCCGCTCCCTTTCGATATCGAAATCTCCGTTTTTGAACTTTTCGAGGAGTAGCGCTTGAAGTTGTCGGCATTCCTCCGTAGTGTGTCCAGCGAACTTATGAAACTCGCAATATCCTCGTTTTGAGGTTGTGCCGGAGTCGCGGTACCACTTGTTCCACGGCTTGTTGCCGTTTACTTTTTGCTCTTGGCCGTTGACGGCAAAAGTGGTAGGCTTACGCGTTTTATCGTTTCGGGCGTACTCTCGATCGTAGTGTTGGCGCGGTTCAACATATTCTTCTGGTGCTTTGGTCTCCGATGCTTTAGACTTTGGGTTTGATGGCTTTGCGAGTCGCTCCGCCCGTGCCGCCTTTTCTTCTTCGACTTCGATGTATCGACTTGCTTTTCGTATGGCGTCGTCGAGCGTCGCGGGCTGTAAGATTATGAGATCTTTGCGAAACTTTGAGCCGAAAAGCAATGCGTTTCGGAGAGCCGCGATGGCCGCGTCGTCGGCTATTGCGATTGTGCTGACAACTTTTTTGAATTTTTCCATAAAATCTCGAAGGGGCTCGTTCTCCTTCTGAGACATGGTCCAGAGGTCGGCGTTTGTTGCGCCTTGCTTCATGAATACCATGTGGTGTTGCAGGAACATTTTTTTCAGGTCGTAATAACTATCGATCGAGTTGCAATCGAGACGGGAAAACCAATTCAGAGCTTCTCCGGTGAGGTGCTCGACGAGCAATTGGCAACTCCCGGTGTCGCTCTGTTCAGGTGGGAAGTATGCGCGGTCAATGGCCAATTGGATGGATCTTACGAACTCCTTCGGATCGGTGAAACCGTTGTAAGGAACGATCTTCATCTTAGTGACATGATGTACGTGAATATCCGTA